GACTTTTAGTTGCACTGGAGGTCGGTCAGGGGTAGGTCGTTAGTATATGATGGTTTGTCAACGAATGTAGGCTTTTACTATGTTGTATTACAGACCTTAGCGACTTTATTGTTAAGAGGGAGCCCAGTCTGGTTAGTACTTTGATCAGCTTGATTGTTGTAAGGAATTGAAGTACTATGTATGCTTGTTTTATTTGAGGTCTGAAGAAGCTGTTACCACAGCGAAAGCTTACCAATGAAAATTTCATATCGAGTACTCATTGAATATTGTTGAAGAAAACATTTGAACATTTGGCTATTTTGCAATAAAAGTTGGGTAGCAAGTCGTGTTTTCAAATTAAATATGACACATTTATTTCGAATGATATATCCATATAACCCAGAAAATATCATGAGTAATTATGTTAAAGTCTCAGTGAACTCGTACGAAAATAAAACGTCAGTGAAACATTATCACAATGAAGTATACTGAAGCTTGAATTGTGTCCATATGCACGGACAAAATGATCACAAATCAGTGTTCCTTCAGTTGCTGGCTGTGCACTCCGTCGTTATCGATACTAATGACACGTCCGTTGCCGATCACCACATCTCCCTCAGAGGGTATACTTCCTTCAAGCTGCTGCCATATGGGCGTGGAACCCAGGCTCGACAGCGCCCAAACGGAGCCATCGAAGGAACTCCCAGTCATGCCTGGATGAAATGAGTAACATAAACGAAGTTCCCGGAAGCTAACAAATAAAGAAATGGAATTTTATCGAACAAACCTGACGGGACACTTCCTGCTGCATGAACCCATGCTCCAGATGGTGTAAGACATAGCCCTTTGGCACCACTGAATCCCCATCTCGGAGCTGCTTCAGAAGGAATCTGAATTGGTAAGATGGCATAACATCGAAACCACTCGTAGATATTCAAAAGAGCTACCTGAAGTGCTTCACAGGACTTCTTGCTAAGATCGCACAGTATGAGGCGGTTCTTTTCCCATCGGAACCCACAACCATGAACACCATAACCTATTAACAACCGATCTCCACTTTCCACAGCCGATACAGCTTGTGCACCCTGAAAGTAAGTTTGTTAGGGAATCACTGCAAAATATAAATGTAATATGGAAGCTATTTCCACTTCGGCACTTTTTCGCCAGCTATTCTGACGGAAAAGAAAACAGCATGATTCAAACAAACAAGAACCTCGACCATCACATGAACTGACACTGTGCGATTACAGTCTGGCTCCGCTGCGGATGAGAGGGCGTGCCCGCGCGGTTACATCTGGCGCGCCGCCAAGCCCGTTCTCCGCTGTTGAAGTGGCTAAGTAACAAGACCTGGTGGAGGACTGATACAAGGATATGGCAGTCTTGTCACTTGCCTGAAGAAAAGTAAAAAACGGGTTGGCACCGCGCCACACGCAGCCGACCTGCCCCATCGTCCATGTCGAACAAGGTCAGCGACCCTGGGATCTGGTTCACTTCCCTGTGCGAGTTAAGCAAGCTCGAAGCTGCAGAAGAATAACATTTCCAGCAGTAAGAAGTGCGTGGAAATAAAGGTGAAGGGATACGATAGCTAGATTTATTTATTGTCACCGCCCACAGTTTAACAAGCACGCCCACGTTGCGAACGTGTGCTCCGTAGCTGCATGACAGTTTTCAAGCAGATCTCGCAGCGAACGGCTTGGCACTGTGGACCCGCAAAGAATGATTGCGCCTCAGCGATAGAAATGAGGGTGCAGACGCAGAAGTAGCGTGCGGGTTTGAACGTGCAGCGTGTTGTTGTCTGCGGTCCACTTGCAGGGTACTGGCGAGCGGCTGGATAGATAAAAACCAGCAAGCTATCACACTTATCCAACTTTTTTCGTGCACTTATGAGTAGTGAAAGAGGTACGGTTCCACAGACACGGACCAGCTCATTTCAGACTTGTGAACAGATCCACGTAGTAGGTAACCTTACACTGTGCCTTCAATCTGCGCGCTCTACGTACCGGCATTACAGAGTTTTAGTGTTACCCTGGTTTGCGTAGCACTACACATTAATACTACAAATATTATCATAGATAGTAAATAAAAAAATAATAATATAATCTTACCGGAATCGCAGCGCCTTCCGGTACATCCAGGACGTGTGCAATTTTAACAGCGCCATCGGATAACGTCAGGTGAGCAACTCTAATCTTTCGTCCGACTGTACTGACTATGTACCTCGAATTTTCATGAGGACCTTCCGCTACTACAACAGTAACTCGCTCTGCCGGATCATCAGCAGGTATTGCTGGGAATGCCTGAAATCTACCCCATGCAGCAATGAAAACAAAGCGCCTAAAAACTAAGGGTTACCTCAAGCTTTACTGGTTCCCAACCAGATCCTGTCCATTTGTGAACCGATTTCATCGAAAGTTCACTAAATGCCGAAAACAGAAGGATGTAAATGGTCTTATTGAGAACGAATAAGGTTTCGCTGACATTTTCCTCTTGCGACAGAGCTGGGAACTGAAATACGGAAATAATCACGACAGAACTGTAAATACTGATATATATTCGTGAAATTTTTCAGAAAACATCAGTCATAATTGAACTGGTGTAGTGATAAGACTGATTGATTAAACGACAGCAAACAAGAGCCGATGAAAAGCAAAAGGGGATTGAACGAATACCTGGTCAACATGTTTATGCCGGTGAACTCCTCAAAACGTCTGTGTTAGTGCAACTTATCTTTTGTTGTTTATCAGTTTACTAGTAGGTTTTCTATCTCGTCTACGCTTTGACGAGCCGACGGTGTGCAGATGGAAGCGAACAAAGTCAGATTTGAAATTGAAACCATCGAAAGAACTATTTTTAGCATCGAAATGAAAAAGAACCTCCGTAGTTAAAAAATGAGAGAGCAACTATCGATCGATTATCTTGCAGCGCGGGAGGTCTATGTTGACCTTCTCAAAGTCGCCCACGAAACGCCAGCCTCCCTGTTCGGAAAACTTCTGTCATCAGTCATTCGTTGACATTCTTCTTGTTTTTTTCGTGTACTCATCCTTAATTCTTGACGGAGACCCCTTAGCTAGAGGGATTGCTTACTATATCAGTGACTAACAAGTAGTGCAAAATACCCCATCGATAAATGATAATGCCTGCACCCGTGCCCAAACACAAAGGTCAGCGATTAGTGGTCCTGCCCATCACCGCTGTTTAGTTTAAACTTCTTCTTCACCAGTCGTCGATTCTTCCCTACAACAATCAACTCACTTTCTGAGGCTCCTCCCATTTGTTATTACCGAGGTTAAATGCCACTCCGTACGTACCGGCCAATGCAACTCGGTTACCCCAGTTGTATGACGGCTGATTGACAACTGAAAATCTTATACTTTTACTCGATCCTCATTCATCTTATCATTCTCCTTCATTCTCGTTCTCTAGTAAACTTCATGAAAACTTACATGTTTTTCCAAACATCCATACATGATCGCCGGCCAGTAAGGCGTGATGGTAATCGCATGGCTCAGGCACGGCCGACTTCACAGGGTCACCGATCTTCTCGCAAACCATTCTCTGACTAGAGTGCATAATTAGTTGCGACGTTACAGAGTAGTATGAGCGAGAGACGAATTAAAAGAGAGAGCGAGAGGAAAATGCGAGAGATGGCCGTAGTTTGCGCTTTGGCTAGGAACGAGAAATGCAAGTGATATTGTAGAAATGGCGCTCATATTTTCTGGATGTGCATATTTATGTAAGGCAGTAAGGCGTGTTCCCATTCTCCTAGTATTGACACAGGCCTTGGATCGATTTTTCGCCGAGTAGTTAAGCGGAACCCGACTTACCGGGGCATCGGCCCGAGATTTCCATTCGAATTATAGCACTGTTAAGAATTTGTTTGTTGGAATTGTGCATGAATGATAATAAAAGTGCAAAGACAACGGCGTTCGTGAGAGAGCGGCTTAAATAGAACGGTCGACGGCGCCATTGCTCAGACTCCACACTCTTTTATACGGGGAACGCTTTCGAAACTCAGCCCGCCCTTCGTACGTTCATGACTCATCGTCTGTTCAACAATGGATATTGCAGGATGTCGCTATATATGAATACTGTCACCTTGGTAACTTTAGATTCGATACCGATTCAGCCTTTGTGTTGATCGCGTCGAGCGCGAGATGCGCTTATGGTTTAGCACAACAGGTGTAGTAGCGCGGCTGTTCAGAGGGGACGTGACAGACGAGCCAACCTGCAGTTGTTAAGCATGAAGAGAAGAAAATTTACAGCAAATGTCTTTGATGTCCGAAACTTGAGGAGAGCCTTGTGTCCTTGCAGCGTTCCGACCCTCACAACTGCTACCATTTCACATTTCCTGAAAACGTGAAGGGCATAAGGCACGACAATTCAGTACTCGCTTGAAAATGGTAGGGGTGCGAATATAGGGGGGAAAATGGCGAAAAACCGAAGTGAAATGGCCAAAAACTGCCAAGCAACCCTTGGTACTTCACGGCTTCGAAAGCATATCCGGACGAGTTTCCCGTTGGCATCATGCCAATAATCGCCCACTTTATATCAATCCCTTCGCTTCATATTGTACAGTCCTCATCATTGCGGACCGGTGGGGCGTGTCAGCCAGAAGGAGTGCGCACACTGTTGAAGCCGTTCTCAGCCTTTTTGTTGAAACGCGTATGCGACAAAAAGTGGTAGAAAACGAGTAATACGAAGGATATAATACAGTAATGCACTTGCCCGCTTCAAAAACTGGTGCAGAACGACTTTGCCAAACCGCACCAAACGCAGCCGCACTGCCACGCCCCACCGGTCCGCAATGATGAGGACTGTACTTCGCAAATGAAGCGATACGAGCATCAGCATCGGTCATCCATTTGTGGGTGGGCGGCAGTGGGAGTACTTTTCTGTTAGCAAACCCCTTTTCTCCCCGAACTGCATGCTTCATTCTGTCGAGGACAGCACTTCCCATGAGAATTTTTCTACCTCAACGTGTGAAACTTATATCTGAAGAAAAGGTTGGAGAAAGGGTTGAGAGAAACCCTTGCAAGCAGGATGTCCGAATTGGAAAGGGCACAGGTGTAGCGAAGGTCAAGGCGCTGAAAGAGTACCTACTTTGGGTAAGGCGCCACGCACCGCCTGCTCAGGGGCGCCGAAATCTGCTTTACTCATACTCGTCTTAGAAATTTATCACACCACTTGCCTTTGATGAAGGATGAACTCTTGAACTCTCATGAACTCTCAAGCCGCTGAATACGATGTGGCCTATACAAAGAATTGCAGGGACCAACCCATGTAGAGGTCTGTGGTCTTATCCTCCCCACACGGATCTGGTACGCTTTTCCGTCCCTAGGCTAGAGGGCATGATTGACCCAGGCGGGAGTCGTTCCGAGATTCGATCTCCGGACCGTGTGCGTGGTAGGCGCTGAAAACATTGACAAGTATAAAAAGGTTTTGCCATACATTCATCATATTATTGACACAGTAATTTCATAATCATTGCCGTAGTATACTGAATGTAAACACAGTCATACTGTGTAGATGTGTATTCAGGTGCAAAATTTCGAGATCTTCTCCCTTTTGCTCTCTTACATGGTGCAGGTGTGGCATAGGTCTGCAATCCAGTTGCAACGCAGACTATGGGGTTCCCTATAAGTAAGGACCTTCATATCTAGCTAGAACATTTCTGCTCCAAATGAAATGAGAAGTACACAGGTTTTTGCACTTGGTCAATCTTCTGAAGTTGTCTTAACATGACAACTGTTGTCAGGCGCCGCACTCCGAAAGTTACCACAACAAATGACTAATGGGCAAGAGTCAGATCCCAGTCGGAGCCCATGGTTGGGGGGAAGCTCCGCCCACTATGGGCGGGTCTCAGCTCTCTTGCCGACGCTCGTCAGATGTTCCTTTCTGCATCGACTTTTGCGATTTCTAAACTCTATCGGGAACAGAGTTACTGGATTTTGTGGGATGCACCGCCCATATCGGGAAGCTCCGCCCGCTTCCAATGTGTTCCCCTAGTTAATCTCAACCACTTGCTGACCTCAACCTACTTTTCCCCCATCTCTGGGCTGCTCCGGAAGCGTCTTATGAATTTAGTCTGCAGCACCGCCAGCTTTCGGCGCATGCCCCGCCCAGTGTGGGCAGGATTTTGCATAGGTCATGTGTGCTCTTTGCTTGCTCTCCCATGCCCTACCCATCCCCTCCGTGGCCCGTCCTCTCCAAGTTGTTCTTCAGGTCGAATTAAAATTCCGGACAAACAAACAAACAGACGAAGCAAACTATATACAGTGTGGTGATTATTATCCTCCACCTCAAAACTTTCCACTGTTAGGACCTCCGTTCACCTTCCCCATCCTATCAACTTTTCCGGAGTTTTTTTTTGCCCGAAACTCTCCATTTTTCCTACCACAAAATAAAAACTGCTGAGGAGCGGGGTTGGGAAATAGTACAAGGGCGGGGGTATATAGCGCATTGAAGAGAAAATGGAGAAAGGCACCAACCCCCACCTTGCGAGGATCCCCGACGTACGACGTGCCCTGATGAGGTTGAATCTCTCCGTACTAAACGTAGTTGATTCCTGACCTTCGCTACACCTGTGCCCTTTCCAATTCGGACATACTGTTTGCAAGGGTTTCTCACAACCCTTTCTCCAACCTTTTCTTCAGGTATAAGTTTCGGTAGAAAAATTCTCATGGGAAGTACTGTCCCCGACAGAATGAAGTATGAAGTTCGGGGAGAAGGGGTTTGCTAACAGAAAAGTTTCTTGTTACAGCTTTTGCTAACTGTTTGTCAAGCACTTGTGCTCTGCTGTGTTGATGGCTGTAAATATTGTTATGAAGGGAATCCTTTTTCGCTTCAAAAACATCATTGATTAAGATGGACAAATGCCAAAATTCATCGATTGGTTTCATGCATGTATTATATGATGATTCACAGCTAGCCAAACAAGTTTCCTGTCATAAACAACGAGTGCTCCCGTGTGTTCGTAGCCACCTGACCTCTATCCCTCTACTGTATCCTTTTTCCTCATTACCACATCCAAATGAAATCTCTTGGCTAGGAAACTGACCTCAGTTAAGGCAGATAACTTTCTTCAATATCTAGACTAGACTGACAGTAATCCCATATTAAATTCATGAAATCAGGCTTTTCGGCTTAGACATTGTGCATCGTTGAGAATTCCTCTTGTTAGTTCATAATGGACAACAAATCCCATTTGGGGCGACGTAAACTCCCGTGAAACTGCAAAGTTAGGGGAAAGGAGGCACTTTGATCGCTGGAATTTCTTTCTTCGCCTTAATGAAGGTTGTGAAAGCAGTAGTTGAGTAGCATTCAGTGCCCCTCCACGCCAAAGTGCGCCCAATATAAACATGTGTACGATAAACATTTCAGCACACTGCTTCCTTCAGAGCTAGAAAAAATCCAAGAGTTGTGCATTCGCCCTTTTAGACACAGAATTCAAGCACTCCTCCGATACCGGGGCGCTTTGGTGCAAAACACGCGTTTTTCAAAACACTCACATTCCCCTTAATGTTGACGGTGAGAGGGAGCTTTTTGCCGAATTGATGGGGATAGCACCTTCTACGTGGACGAAGCGGTTCAATCAGATCTTTCTCCGCCTCACCTGTCCCAGGCCAAGGCTAAAGTCTCCACACCCGTGACTTCCGACTGCTTCATCGCACTTTCCACCACTAAAACTCGTCTTCAATTGATTAAAAAAGAAAACGCACAGAAACGGCGTGAAAACTTGCAGCTCGCAGCACCCTCGTAAGCTCGTGACACTTCTTTGCAAAATTGCTTGTGTGAAAGGAGACACCGTAATTCGACGAACTATTGCACCACGGTATATTGGACTAGAACCTCATATTTCTAAATATGAAGCAGTGGAAGCTCAAATAAAAAAAATGATGCCACAACAAGTTTTTGTCAGATTTTACTGCTCATCGGACATTCGAAGTTCAAGCGATATTGCGAACTACACCGTTAAATGCCCGGTGGGCCCCCGCAGACTGTTTTCATATAACCTGGTCACTGATGGCACTATATAATCATCCTTCGAAGGCCATCGCGGCAAATAACTGGGAAAAATGGTGTCCTTAGCTCTCGTGGTGGGTCCCACTTAGTCTCGGAGGTTTCAGGTTAGCTTTCAAGCTCAATTAAGAAAACGCTAGAAGAGGTTTGACGCACTTTAATCGCGCATGCTTATATGGTAAACTACTTTAGGCCACATGATCACAACCTAGTGGAGGTCTCGTTCAGTATCATTTCTCATGAAAGGTTGAATATTGCCGTTTAGGCCGCTTCCATACTTCACGACTCGAGCGTTTCATTCTTGTGACTGCCTCTGGCCGCATTCCACCGCTAGCCATTAGACAGCTGCAGTGTTCGAAATATGTTGTATCCTGATTAAGACCGAATAAGCAGTTGAAGCGGTCCAACGGTTAGCGGTGGAGCGTGGTTGACCTGTAAGCTCAAGTCGCAAAGTACGAACACGGACTTAAAGGCAAACTCTGCGACTACGGGCTGCGCAAAGACACATATATTACGTTCTACTTATTGATACTTATTGATGTGCTTCTACT